ATGACCGTCTGTTCTGCCCATTTCAATACTTGTCCCATATTGCACTCTGATTTCTGGACATTCAGTCCCCAGCAAGGCTGTAACCGTTTAAGGGAAGAACATGAGTCTTCAGTTCCCAGCCTGAGAGTGAAGCACAGGTTTCTTGGGCAAGCGCGCTTCGCTCAGTGTGAGCTGGGAGCGGGACGCACATTGCAAATCTCCACTGCGGCCATCAATAGGACCACCTGCCCATCCACCTGCTGCCTGAACCCCACTTTAATGCTCTGAACCTGCAGGTGACACTCAGGAGCTGAAATTTTGGCTCATTGATTCCTCTTGAGTGGAGACAAGAATGAACCTGTATCACTCAACTAAGCCTTGTGCAGCAGGAAGCGATTGCTCTGCTGTCATTGTTCACAAAGGCAGGGTGCCCTCTCTGCAGGAGCTGCACCCAAGCCCACTCAGAGGCGCTCGGTGGGGCCTGGGTCTCCCCAATGCGGTAGGAGCAAAAATGCTCCCCCTACCCCCGTGTCCTAGTCCCTCTAACCACATGTCAGCAGTGGTGCAGAGAGAGCTGCTTCCCTAGCCTGGGCACCAGTGTAAAGAATGTGGAGCAGGCCAGCAGGAATCCAGTATGGACATGCTGCTAAAACTATTAAATTTTAATTTTAATGATTCTGTGTTAGTTAATTACCTCTGTGAAGTGGTCGGGATTCTAGAGGCCTAATAAATCATTACACCTGGCGTTCTGGCTAGGGTTTGGACCAAAGGGCTGGACTGGGCACGCTCAGGCCCCCCACAGTCAGAGGGCTCCTCCAGCCCACAGAGGTGGGAAGGGGTGCTAGGCCTTACTGCAAAGGAGGTCCTGCTCCCTGAAAACTTCAGGTTGAGGGAAATAGAGGTTTCTAAAGGGATTTCGTTACTGTAGCATTCTATCACTCCACGTATCTACAAGAATTTGCTAGAACTAGAAATATTTGGCAAGGCTATAAAAACGTTAGTGTTGGACTCATTTTTATTCTTGCATATTTGAAAGCCTGGTGGGAAACATTCAAGTAACAGTTCAAGACTCTGAAATAAAAGTTTAAGCATTGGTAATCCTAACTGTTATCATTCATGAAGGTAACATTAGCACATTGCTGCAAATAGCACAGCAGCTCCAAAGTAAATGGAACTGGGGCCTGAAATCCCTGTGACTTTCTGCCAAGCAGCCCTTGTTCGGAGGGCCTGGTTCCTTGTTAATTAATTGATGGCCTGTGGCTCCCAGCACAGTGCACTGCTCTGGCTGTGGGACCTCAGGGAAATGGGGTTATTTTGAAACCCAGTGTTCTTAATGAAGCGGTTCCTGACCCTGAAATGTGTGAGAAAATAACCTAAAAGTGTGATGAAAAACTGGCCTATTGAAAAGTCAGTGGCCTTTCCAGTGTTGGTTTTCAAATAATAGATCTGTTTGATTTGACACTTCGTCAGATAATTCAGTAAAAGTAGCAAGGCCAAATAAATTGACCCAGAGTGTTTTACGTCCTGCAGCCTGGAATATCCGAACTATGTATCCACAAATGAGCATCCCTATTAGTGAAGTTCTGCTGCAGATTTTAGCTGGGACTGTTTTGGGGTGTCAGACTTTTAGGCGCTATCACAGAACTGGCAAGATGCAAGGGACTTTTACTGATTTAATAACATTTTCCTTATTGTCCCCATAATCACCTGTTTTATGAACTGTGGCTAGAGCTGATGTTGCACCGGGTGATTTTCTGTGAACCCAAATGCATTTATATTTTTTCATCTTTTGGTTTCCATTATTTCTGGGAATTGTTAGTAGATGGAATAAAAAGAGAATGAATACATTATAAACAATTCAAAGCAACAAAAACAAAATTCCTTGGGCCGTTACAGATACCACATATGCAAATAAATATGGCTTGGCATTCCGGTGGCAGGCAAGTGGGGATTACATTTTCTTCATTAACTTCTTTCTTAACCAAACAGTATTGTTTTCAAGCCTGTTTTATCAAGATGAAGTTTGACATTTTAAATTAATTCACCGTTCAAGAGAAGAGGTAGAATGTCTTCTTCTGACCCCAGTCATTTGTGCCATCCTGGCTGAATTGTACCCAAGTGGGAACGCCTATGGGTTTAGGATGAAATCAGGAGATTGCGATGCTTGCCAAACCATAAAAATAGAGACACTAACCAGTGCGGTGTCTTTCTGCACTACAATGAAAAGAGGTAGGAAAAGCAGTGGGTGAGGTATACTTGAGGTCTGAACATGCATGCTGTCTGATGGCAAGCCACTTCTAAAAATGAAGGTACTAATTTTTCATTGAAGAAACACCCAATCTGTTTCAATCAGGCATAACCAGTAATTCCTCTGCTCATGTGTGGATCTTAATGTGAAGCAAGGGAAATCTTCCCTTTTCTCCACAAAAGTCAACACAGTTGTCCTGAATGATTGCACAATGTTGGTAGGAGCCGAGATGTAACTTTATTATTTTAAACTTCTGTAAACACTTAAGCATGACTCTGTAATTTTGCCCCAGTACAGACACAAGTGCGCATTGTTTTCCGTGTGGAGGTTTGGCAGGGAATGATGAAATACCTGTGTGTGTTTAGGTGCGTCCAGCTAAGCAAATGCAAAGGGCACAACAACTACTCTCGGTCTGAGTCAGATCCACCGATCTGAGGAAGCCGTGCCTCAGTTGCCTTCCCCCTGCTGTTAGCTGTGTCCTGCCGTCAGGAGCTCATTTCCATTCCACCTTCTTCCCGCGCACAGTCTGCAGACCCCTGTAAGCCTCGCTCAGGGCGGCATGAGTCAGTCAGAGAGAAAACCAACACTAGTTTTCTAAGTGTCCACAGTTTCAAAACACACCCTTTGATGTGATGACACCATTTTCTACATGTACTTTCTTCAGAAAGTGGAAAAATACATTATGGAGAATATGTCAGATGAAAGTACATTGCAAAACATTTGCAAAACTGGATTATTGATGAAATGCATGTGATTCCAAAAGGGCTGCTTGATTGGAAGCAGCTGCGGCGTTTCAGCGCGAGGACGTTGCCTGGCCTTCGCGTTGTCTGCTTTCAGGTTCCTGCGGAGCTACCTCTGGACCTGCCCCGCCTCCGGAAAGCAGCCCCTACAAGCCGACGCGGAGCAGAGCGGAGCCAGGGTTTCGGAGCGCTCACGCCTTTCAGCCCTTAGTAGGCTGACTCAGGAAGACGCAGCCTCCTGTCGCCCGCGTCCCTTCTGACCCCTGGGGGGCTGAACGCCCCCACCCCGTGCCTGCGGCCTGACATGGCCTAACAAAGCCGCGATCGCCCTTGTGCCTTCCCAGCACATGCTGCGGCTGCCACGATGCAGTCATGCCCTCGGCAGGTGCTTGGGTGAGACGCGCGTCCATGTCACGCAGCTGCAGGGCGCCTCGTTGCCCACTTTTCAATGTCCCCGAACGGCTGACGCGTAGCCTTCGTCTGAGAATGGCACCATTGTCAGCTCCGTCACTGACCAGAAACAAGCCCACTTCCGTTGCAAATGGGCAACTGCCTTGTGGAAAATTGCAGTTGCCTACTTTAATAATAATGAACAGTTAATTCCTCTCCTGATAAGGCAAACCGTCAATACCAGCGCAGTCATCTTTATTTGGAATTTGAGGAAAGCTAATGTCTCAACTGTCTTCCTAATTTTTCAAAGGACTTTTTGCTGCCTAGCCTCATCTTGTTTAAAGATGTTAGAGCTGCATTGAAATGATACCAGCAGTCAGAAAGTAATATCCTGTTTAGACATGCTGGGACTAGGTTGTCTGAGTTAAAACTTAATGGACTGGAGAAGAGAAGCATTCAAGATCCTAGCGATGGGGGCTTGGCTATGTAGCATCTGCCACATGTCACAGTTTCTAAGCTCTGAACATCTGATAAACCCACGGTCTGCCTCTCAGCCTGGGCTGCACATTAGAACAGTCCCAGAGTTCAATCAACAACAACAAAATGATTTGGCCAGCTCCATCCATTCTGAAGAAAGTAGAATCTCTCAGAGTAGCACCCCAGACATTGTTTTTAGAGCCCCCAAGCGATTCGAATGCACAGCGCGTGTGCGGATCACTAACCCACGTGATAATTTCATCGTTCAGTAGGGAGAGGAAGCGAAGGGGATTAACACCCTGCTTCTAATTTTGGCCAACTCGGAGGCCCTGAGTGGAAAATCAGAAGTGACAGGGATACTGGAAGTGGGCCACCTGGCCATCAGAAAATTCCAGAGGGATGTAATCACTGCCAGACACACACTCAGTTTGAGTTTTAAAATATCTCAGGAAATTATAGAGGCCTAACTTTGACGCCCTAGTCTGAGATTCCAAAAACAAGCAGGGGAGAGTCCTCAAAATAAACCTCTGATGCTGCTATTGCGAATGATCCCAGGCAGGGGGAAGAAAAGAAAGAAGGAAGTAGCCAAAAAGATTTAGTGTCTTTGTGCAGGAAGCTGTCTGCTGAGATCAGATATGTTTTTATATGGTGTATGTAAAATGTGAAAGGTGATCTACAAAAGCAAGCACGGATACCAAAGTGTATGTGGGAAAAGGGTCAGAAAGACTAATCTGGTGGGAGGCTGGCACTGTAGATGGTGAAGGGGACTGTCTGAAACAAAAGCAAGGAAAGGCCCCCTGCGCGGCTGTGACAGGGTTATTTAGATGTTCCGTCAAGGATAAGGAGACACAGTGGCCACATCTTCAGACTCCATTTTACTCTTTCAGCTACAAAGGGTGTGACTAAGTTGGGTAAGAAGCAATTGACAAATAGATCGTTTAGGAGAAAATGCCAGCTGCCCTAAATAAATTCAAACCCTGGTCTGGAAATAGCAATCCTTTCAGATGAAATCTCTATAGTCTTTAAAACATATGTAGAATGAAAGAGATGAGTGAACCATGTTAGACATCTTTTTTCAAGAGGAAGGTAGAAAAAAATCTTTGAACTAAAGAGTCAAAGACCTGCTGCTTCTTCAGTTAAAAAATTCTAGGATTTACTTTAAAATGCAATTTGAATGCAAGACTTGCCAAGTTTATTAAATCACACCTACGACAGAGCTCGTGAAGAAAGCAGAGACAAGGAATCATGACGTTTTAAACCCTCAGATTTGGAACTTGATATATTTGAGAGCTAGAGAGATGCTCAATACACTTTTGGACTAGTTGGCCATTAGAGCATGACAAGCCATCCCAAGAGTTGGTGGCCTCAAACAGTTACTCTTACACTGCTCACAATTCTGCTGTGTTCCTGGGCTCCACTGGGCGGCTCTTCGGCTGCTCCTGCCTGGGGTTCACTGGGGCAGCTGCAGTCATCTATAGCTTAACGGGTCCTAGTTGGGCCCAGATCGCCTTGGTCACCTGTTTGGCGTCTGCAGCCGGCTGTCACATGAGCCCACGTCTCCAGGAGGACAGCCAGGACTGGTTTACGTGGCGGGGGCCTCCATGGGGGCTGGCTCGGCTGCATGGTCTCCCAACCAAAGCTGAGACCCATGGAAAGGCTGTCATTCATTTGCTGGAGGGACGTGCACACAGGCCCAGAACCTGGTGGAGGCTGTGCACGGACGAGCAGTGGTGTGTGACAGCACGTGCCTCTGATCGAGTCAGTGACCTGTGCCGACACGTGGCGACAGCAGCCTCCCCAGTGCAGCCATAAACCCAGCGGAGCTGGAGAACGGGACGCCTCCTGGGTGGATCTAAATCTTCCAGAAGGGGGACCCCGTGGTTGGGAGGATAGTTTCTTCTTCTTGCTTGTAGGTTGTTGTGTTGGTACCTTGTGCTGGGTGAAGAATGCAGCAGATAAAAGTTTATCATTTACTCTTATTTATACAGCATTTTCTCTCCAGTCAGAAGAAAATGGCTGCTCACATCCAAAAACATCTCATTCCAACAGGAACTTTATAGCATTTGCTTCCCATCAAAGCAAAATCCTCAATACAGGAAGTCTGAGGTCTTGCCAATTTAATGGATTCCTCGTAATCTTTAAATAGCATATATTATTTTAATGCTTTACACAGTGGGAAGATTATTGAGGGATACATTAGCAGAGTCTCTGTTTTCTTTAGAAAAAAATAAATTCATAAAAACAAAGTACTCTACATTTTATTATTATTTTGGCAGTTTTATTTTTATGACAAAGTTCTGAATCTATTATATTGTCTGAACTCTAAAAAGACTCAATTGATTACAGAAGAATTTTTTAGAACATTTGCTTTGCCATTTTCTTCTCTGGGCCATTTCTGTGTTTTTGATACTATTTAAAGGACCTGTGTATTTTTCATGGCTCAACACCAACACCCAACGTAATATCCAATTCCTTCATTCTGAACTGTGCCTTGAGTGGCTTCCAAACTAAATGAAATTAAAATACCTGGGGCATTCTTTGTTTACACACGGTGGCAAAATTAAGTTCCATGGATCACGGCTCTGGGGCGGCTCTGAGCCTTGCCCTGCACGGGCCCCAGGCAGGTGGCTTCTGTTCCTTCCCCTTGGAGAACACAAAGCTTCGGGAGCACCTACTCAAGCAAAACATGGTGTGGAAAACACGCGGGCGTCTCAGGCTGGCCCTGACTTGATGGTCCTGGTTGGAATAAGGTCATAAACTGGATGTCACTGTGCGCCATGGAGGCAAAGGCCTTATTTTTCTCAGCAGGTTTCAAAATAGGGCTGAGCTCCCTTTGCAAGCCGTGTTTTGTGTCATTAGTGTCCTTAACTATCCATCGTCAAGATTTCTTTCTGATGGCTGTCGGTTGCACAAGTCCAGGTGGAGGGCATTCTTCCAAGGACCTTGGGAATCACCGGCTCTGAGTGTGAGGAAATTTCTGTGGGGGGAGAGGGTGGCACGCCGGCAGCTGGCCACGACTGGTGGGAGCTTCCTGGGAGCTGCTCTCCCGGCAGGGACAGAGGGCACATTCTCTTCACACCCCGGGGTTTCTAATACCCAGCCATGTGCCTGGTACAGAGGAAACATTCAGGAAATGTTTTCATCAGGGAATGGATACATGGGAAGATTTTGTGGGCCTGTTGGGGCTAAAATAGGTAGGGTGCCACTGTTTGTTAAGTCAACTAAGTGGCTGACTCCAAGTGACTCAACATCAGCGGAATATAAGAACACGTGTAGCTTTTAGAATTCAGGTGAAATGCAATTGGGAGCAGGGTAAGTCAGCCTAGAGCTATGAAACCTCAAGGGACCATTTTAACATGAATGTTTTAATGCTAGTAGTTAGCTCCAGCTGGGAGGGGTCATAGGCATTATAGGCAATAGGCAAATGTCCATGTTATAACACTTCCTAAATTTTTGGCAAAGTTCTCCCAAAATTATTCAAGTCAAAAAATCTGGCCTTGGATGACTAGCAGTTTTTGTCAACAAATTCAGTCTTTCCACTCTCCCCACTTGTCAAGGTCGCACACCTGTGCTTGCCTGTCTCCTGGATGGAGTCATTCACTTTTACTCCAGTGCCCTGAGTAGTCACTCAGGTCAAATGCTATTGATTCCATTTGTGTATGACAGAAGATGTCTGGATTTCAGACCAATGCCAGAAAACTAGATGATGCAATTCCTTTATAAAGTAGGAAAACACCTTTTGTGAATAGGCTATGCTCACATTCAGACTAGGAAGAACAAGAGAAAATTGTATTATGAATTATATAGATGGATAAATTATAATTAAGAAGGAATACTTTTTCTTTAATATTGCTTCAGTTCATTGTATACTCCATGAGGAACTTTTCATTAATCTGAATGATCCAGAAAATTCCCAGCTTCCTACCTCTCATGTATAGATACATATGTCCTATACTGAATGAATATTAGGCCCAAATTTGGGAGAGGGGGAGAACTCTGAGCTGAACATTCAGAAACTAGAAAAATTAGTTTTTAACCAAGTTTGCTCTTTTCCTGTGGACATTCATTGGGAAAGGGTGCTACATCAACTTTGTGAGTCAAATAGAGTATTGGCATATTTTACTTCCAATGAAGTACATGAACACAGTAGCATTTCAGAATTGTAAAATTTTACATTTAAAATCTATCATAGTGTTCAAATTGATAATCAGTTTATGATTAAATTTTTGCAGTTTTGGGTCTTAATTCTATTATTTTAGGAAATACTACATGGATGGCTGAATGCTAAAATTATAAGACCATCCACTTACTTCAGGTACTTGGGAAAGAGACAGGCTATGCATTTGTGTTGGGCAGAAAGACCGACATGAGCAGGGTGGAGAGAGAATAAGCCAGGAAAGCCGACTAACAGGGACCCAAAGAGTTAACCAGATCAAACCACAGAGCCAAAAAGGGCTCGCAGAGTTAGTTCGCTAATTAGCTGAAGTTTCAAAGGCTAAGAGTGACTCGGAATGTCCAGATATTCCCCAGATGAAAAACAATTCCCCAGATGAAGAAAAACATCAGAGCACAGCCTCTCTGAGGTTGCCCACACTCCCTTTTCTCAAGTGTGTACTTTTTACCTTAAATAAAGACTTCTTACTGCTCAACTTACTACGTTTGTCTCTGCACTCTTCCAGTGGGGTCTTTGCCCCTTTGCTATTTCATTCTGTTCTCCAGGCGTAAGCACAGGTCTTCACTCGGTCTCTGTTCTCCTGCAGATACATAAGGAGGGGCTACCGAGCGCCGACTTGGGCTTGCGAGTTCCCATCTGTAGCCTGGGGCGAGTCCCCTATGAAAACAGTGAAACCAAAATAAGTCAAGGGAAAGGGGAGGTTGGGACAAACTGTTCTTATTGCTCACAGCTTTGCTTGAATTCGCGGGCCAGGCTGGGGGCACTGTCCGACTCCGCCCACCGCCACTCACACTCCGCTTCCACTGAGCGCTATTTCCCACCTGCCCCTTCAGGGAGGAACTCATGGGAGGGACCTTGCTGAATGGCAGATGCCAGACCAATTACATGCCAGGAACAGAGGGGAGGAGAGAATGGCTGTTCTCTCTCCACCCCTTGCTCCCGAGGATCCTATTGATATGTAAATGAACTAAGGCTAGGCAGGAGATTCTGGAAATTCTGCCATACACCCCACACCATCACCTGGGTAACCTGGACAAAACTTCAGCTGTACCATCATGCTCTTTAGAAGCCTGCCAGAAAAATCTCCTTTCTTCGCTTTTGGCAAGTTCCCAGAACATAATCTCTCTGCATCCAATGCTCTGCAGCACCCCCTCCCAAATCCTGGGGTGGTAGGGACTTAGTTCTGACGCTGGGCAGATCCAAGCAGACACGGGATGCCCGGTGGCCCTGGCTTCAGGAGTTGGCAAGGGACTTGCCCTGCACTGAGCTGGAGTTCAATGAGCTTCCCTTCCCTCCCTCTGTTCTTCCTTGCTCTCTGCTGCCTGCAGGCAGCTGCCATTCCCTGCTACTCTCACTTTAACGAATTCCTTCTTTACCTTTCACTCTGACTTCCCTGCGTCTCCGAACCAAATTCCTTCCCAAAATTTGGACTCTCTAGGTTTGTGTCAAACAGTCTTCAGATCTGACTTGCTATTTTTTCCATTCTCCTGAAGCGATTCTCGTGTAGCAAACCCAGCACTGTCCCTGACTGGAATCTTGGTCCCCATCACGCCACACTGGGTTGGTTCTAAAACTCTGTACAAGGTTTCAGTCCTCCTTTTCCCATTTGACTCTATCTCCCTGACTAGAAGATCATGGAGAAATGTGTGAGCAGTAATGAAAGAATTTGGAGGTCCCCACTCTCTGCAGACTGAGTGATTGTTTGTTAGTAATTGTTCACTTGGATTCTTTTCCAAGAATGGAATGTAACATATTCCAGCTGATGCTATTCAAAGAAGAAAATATATCATAGTTCACTTGACAAATGACTCCAAGCACTGTGGTTTGGGAATTTTCCCTTTGAATGCATTGCTTAGGACAAGTTTATGTAGCAAATAAAAAAGAAACGTGTTCCATGTGACTACAAGTATAAGCACTCCAAAGTTTCACAAGGCCTTTTTCCCTCCTCCTTCCTCCTTTTTGTAACCTGTCTCCCCCACCTTTTTTTTTCTAGATTGGCCATTTCATCCGTAAATACTCTTTAAGCCAAGGGGCGGTGGGCCTGGCTCGAAGCTGGTGCCAAGCCTCCTCTCTTGATGATTTTCCTCTCTGTTCAAAGGGAGGCTCTAGGGGCAGAAAATGACGCTCCTTTCACACCCAGGAAGACAGACCACTTGCACCATGCGCAGGAAGGGAAGGCCAGGGGACTTAGTGAATTGTCCACACACACCCATATACAAATTGTGGTAAAATACATATTACACAACATATACCATTTCACTGTTTTTTAGTGTACAGTTTAGTGGTTTCAAGGGCATTCACATCATGCACAACCATCACCCCTTCCATCTCCAGAATTTTTCCCCTTCCTCAGCTGAAGCTCTGTCCCCATTAAACACTAACTCCCAGTCCCCTGCCCCTAGCCCTAGCCCCCTTCTCCTTCCTGTCCATATGAATCTGACTATTCTAGGGACCTCATATCAATAGAATTGTACAATATTTGTCCTTTGTCTCTGGCACATTTCACCTAGCATGATGTTTTCAAGGTTCATCCATGTTGTAGCATGCACCTGCACTCCATTCCCTTTTAAGACTAAATAATACCCCGTTGTATGTATATACTACACTTTGTTAAGCTATTCATCTGATGACGGACAATGGGACACAAATACCGGATGAGAACTATGAGTCAAACTACCCAGGTAGTGTAAGTAAGTTTCACTCACTGATTAGCTCCTACAAGATTATCGTCTCTTTTTTAGTATGTATATATGCCTAAAATGCTACAAATAGCAAGGATTTGCAGATGAAACCTGAGCTAAAAGTGGAGAAACCAAAGAATATTGCATTAAGGACTCAAGGCAATCCCACCGTGCTGAGAGCGAGCCTTGCTGGCCCACCACTGGGAGGACAGACGCCTCCCTGGGAAGTGCGGGTGGGGGGACTGCCTGCAGGCCAGGTCCCAAGGGTCAATTATGTTTGTAATGAGTAAGGGTGGCTTCTCAATGTTTGAACTCTGTGGAAAACAGAGACAAATTCAAGTCAAAAGCAAACGAAATCTATTTTTCTTCTCATAACAATGACGAAATGCAAGGGGTTGACTCTGCTCCCCGCTCCCCAAATCTTCTAAAATGTGGGAATAGCCTCTTTTCCTTTGTTAAATGTCCTCATCAGTGTTATCAGCATCCTAACAAAACACCTGTGTGTCTCCTGTCTTCAGAATTTGCTGCATTTTTTGACCAGAGTCCCCAGCCTCATCCCTCACTGGTTGCCGGCTGTGCCCAGGCTCTGTAGAGAGCCCCTCTCCCTGCACCCCAGCAGCAAAGGTGGCTTTTCTAAGCAACATGGGGGATGGCAGAGCTCGGGCTGCCCTGGGCCTTTGCACATGTAAGGCTAGTTTTGGGGAAAAGGAGACAAATGCATTGGCTCCGAGTTCTCATCTGTGCCCCTCTGGCCTCTGCGGTAGACATGGAGCAGAGAGCCCCCTGACCCCCTTCACAGCCCCCCTGAAATGCAGCACCACCTGTTGACCTCAAGGCAATCAAGACCATCCTGCCAGCTGAGAGTCCCCGGGAGGTGGGGAGCTGCCGCCAGCCCCGTGCACCTGCCCCGTGACACACAGGCCCGGGAAGGGAAGTTACCCTCGAGGATTCCGAACAAAGACCTTTCCGCTCTCTCTGGAGGGACACAACGTCCCCTATTCTTGCTACTTTTTCCTAAATACTTCCTAAAAATAGCTATCCTCACTAACTGCTACCTAATTTTGTACATATTCTTCGCTGTCCAGCATGCACACCTATTGCCTTGCCAAAGCTGGGAACACTGCACGTCCACCTGTGACCCTGTGATCTTCAACCAGAGACGTTTACAAATGGGTGGACATTACATAACACAAAAAGTTGTTTTTTTTTAAATATACTGAAACCACCAAAATGTCAGCTACAGTGGTAGCTGTGTGTGTGCATGCGTGCTTGCACGTCTTCTAGGAGACAGCAGACAACTTTGACAGGCAGCAGCCGGAGAGGCGCCTCACAGGAGAAGGCCTGCAGCTCGTGTGGTTTTAGACCAAACCGGAGCTTCAGGTTCACTGAGGCCGAACCTGTTCAGGTATCCCTGCAACTGAACAGAACCTGACATGTTGGGCTGTTTCCCGTTCACTCGAGAATTTTGTTACCGTCTGGGTGTCTGTCAGCTTATATCGTGAGTCAAAGTGGTGACGGCTTCACAAGGGTGCGTCACTTTGGATTCGAGGTCCCTACACAGAACTGCAGATCCCTGAGGTGAGGCGGCTTCAAGCCACGGCGTGTCCTGACCCAGTGCCGGAGGCTCTGCAGCCATCATGTGGTTGTGCCGTGAAGGCTTGAGCACCTCAAATGACAGAATTGTGTGTCCAGAGGCTCCCGGTCCAGCTTGAAGAGCTTGGTGAGGAGGCAGCCCCCCTTTCCTGCTTAGGGCTGTCCTCCCGGTCTCCACCCTTTATCGTTGGTCTCCACCTCCCCCGCCCCTGGGAGAACCTTCTTGGCGACCTTCAGGGTATCTGAAGGCAGTCAGCATGTCCCCCATGCCATCCGTCCACATGGACCTGGTGCTCTGGCCGTTCCCAACATGGCTGGTTTTGTGTCCTCTCACTGACCTGTTTGAATGCATGTCCTCTGAATGGATCCCATTTTCTGGCTCATATTCCTCCTGAAGTGTGGTGTCCAGTCAGACACAGAGCCCTGGGTGTAGTCATTTCCTGTCGATCACTTTTCTCAACACGAGCGGTCACCATTCAAGCAGTCACTTGAAGGTTTAGGTTAGTCACTGGTTGTGAAAACTGACAGGCTCACTTTCAGGGAATGGTTTAGTGGCAGGTCTCAGTAAGGCCACAGGTGGCCGGTGGTCAGGGGACTTCCTG